TGGGCCGGCGCTGGGGCGTAGACACGAAGTAGGAGTGGAGGGAAGAGAAGTTTGACGGAGGCGAGCAAAAAGGAAACGACCCACAGACCGAAGAGGCAGCGAGTGACACGAGGACGACTCACCCAAGCCGGATAGAAGATAGGATGCACGAGGCCGAGGTAGAGGTCGAGCGAGAGGCCGCAGAGACTAAGCAACGTGGCGTTGTAGGCGGTGTGCAAAAGGGCGTCGAGCAGGAGATGGGCGCATGGGCTGTAGGCCGGGAGGAAGGGCACACGAGCCGGATAGGCCGGTCGGATCGCGGATTCGGACGTCAACTCGGACACCAACTCGGACGTGGTGGCAGACGAGGAGTCGGACTGGAAGTGAAGGCGATCGAGGAGTAGACGGGCCCGAACGAAGGGGTCGAACGAGGCCGGGGGACGCGGCGAAAACTCATTGACCAGACCGATGAAGGCCTGGCTCATCGCGACCGCCACATGGAGACAGTTGGCGGCCACGAGGGAGGCGACGAAGCGGAGATTTGTAGGCAGCGGCCGCAAAACTAGTGGTGCCATCGGAGGGAAAGTGGGCTTCGGTGTGGGTGTTTGTGGTTGGCCGAGAGCACGGGGAGCAGATAAATAAGATCTTGAGGGGAGGATTCGGAAAATGGACGGCTGAACAACAGACAACCAGACAGCAGGTCTGATGGGCTGCCGGGACGTGTAGCGAGGTTGGAGACAGAGAGGCTGTAGTGTTGGGTGGGATATTTGATCAGATGTGAGGGTGAAAAGGTGACCAGTGAAGACGAGATGTGGTGACAGGGTGGGAGTAGGAAGCGAGAAAAAGGTTTTGAGTAAGAAGTTGATTTTTCCGTTATTAGTAGCATTTCAAGATTAACGGTAAATCAGAAATATGAGATGTGTTCACCTTATTTTGTTTAAAGTGATAAAGTACTGGTAGTTGAATTTTCTTACAATCATATGAATACAACTTACATTCGCATCGAATTTCACATAGCCTTGCACATAGCCTTCAGCACTTTAAAGTAATAGGGTGGATATATATAATAGCTATGATCAACTGAAAGTCTCGAAACCTTGCTAACGAAAAATACTTTTTTTCGTAGGTATGAGGAACAAGATGGTGTGGCCTTTTGTGTGGTCGCAGTCTCCTTTCGTTGTATAGAGGTTGTTTGAACTTGTTTTC